CGTGAGGGCTGCTGAGGCTGGGGCTGAGCGTGCTGGAAATGAGGGGCCAGAGGTGCTGGAGCAGGAGGGTCAGGGGCATTGGGCTCACCTGGTTGTCAGCAGGAGCAGGAGGAGCAGGTGTCAGGAGAAGTGTGTGAGGGAGAGAGGCTCTGGGCCGGCTTTTATGCCTGTCCTGCAGGGGTGGGACAGCCTTGTCCCAAATGGCCTTGGGGCATTTTGCAGGCAGAAGCTCTCACCTGGCCCAGCCTCTCATGAAGTCATGAGGTGGGGAGTGTTTTCATTCCTGTCTTTCTGCAATTCCATGTCCTGCTCTTGAGGCTGGTTCCATCTGACCTTGGCAGCAGCTTCCATGAGGTTGTGTTTGGGTAGATTTGATTGTTCCATGTGTGTCAGGGAGGGCTGAATAAACAACCAGAGCCCTGGAAAGTTGCAATGTCATCAGTGAGGTAATGTTGTGGCACTCATCTGCTGTGCTTTGTGAAGACTGGGACTTTTTCTCAGCCACTGGATGTCCATCAGTCATTGTGTCACCCAGGAATGCTGAGGGAGCTGCTGATGGCCTGGGAAGGTCACTCTGCAATAACTTTTAAAGGTCTGAGTGCTTGGATGAGAGAGAGCTCCTAGGCTTGAGTCTAGACTGGGATCAAGAGAGAGGATCTGGAAAGCCAGGCTCTGTTTAGGCTGGACTTGTTTCAGTGTTCTGGTTCATTTGCATTTCTCAAATATATACAACAGCATTTGCTACCGTATAAATGTATTTCTAGACCTCATTCAGAAATCTAATATTGAGGAATAAACCCCGTCCATTCCATTTCTTGCCAGGGCTGGTCTGTGATATCAATTTCTGTATTTTGCTTTTAAGCCATAAGGTTTCATAACTTTTATCATGTAATCTTAACTTTTGTGTTTCTGCTAGCAAAGGCTAGTTACTACTAGAAAAGTGTCACCAAGGCCTTGTTCTCTCCCAGTCATTGTGGTGACAAAAAACTCCAGCAGTTACCAGGACAGGATTAAGAAATGAAATACAAGCGGGTTGAGGGTGCTGTCCATCCTTTCGCCCACCACTGCTGTGACTCCACAGTGGATCAAGGATCTGGACATGGATGACCAAGAGCAGTGCAGGGAGATCATGACAATGATGGAACTGCAGCATCCTTAAAATGAGAAGCTGAGAGAGCTGGGATTTCTTTCTGACAGGAGGCAGGGATGCACATGGGACATATTGCCAACATGCCATGGAATTAATTCAGCTGTGACTTCCCAGCTCTTCAAAGCTTTGACTGAATCGTTTCCATGTCCTGGAACAAGCTGTCACCAACGAGATAATGGTCACTAATTCTCGCCATTAAGAGATGATGCCAAGGTCAGATGGAAACAGCCTCAAGTGGAGGACATGGCGTGGAAGAGTTGCAGGAAAGAAAACACTCTCCACCTCATGACTCACCAGCCTGGGTGACGCAAGAGCTGCTGCCTTAAAAATGCCCCAAGGCCATGGGACAAGGCTGTCCCACCCCTCCAGGACCAGCATAAAAGCCAGCCCAGCATTGCTCTGCTTCACAAACTTCTCAGTCTCCTGACTCCTGCTCCTGCAGACAACCAGGTGAGCCTCAAGCCCCGGACCCTCCTGCTCCTGCACCCCTGGCCCCTCTCTTCCAGCACGCTCAGCCCCAAACTCAGCAGCCCTCACGCCTCCCCACAGCCCCAAAACAGCCTCCAAACTCCTTCACCCTCCTGCATCACTGCCCCTCACAACCCACACCCCTGCCCTGCCTCACCCCTCTCTATTCCAGGCACCCTCCACACCACACCCATGGCCTGCAACACCCTCTGCCAGCCCTGCGGACCCACCCCGCTGGCCAACAGCTGCAACGAGCCCTGTGCCCTGCAATGCCAGGATTCCCACGTCATCATCAACCCTTCCCCTGTGCTGGTCACCCTGCCAGGACCCATCATGACCTCCTTCCCCCAGAACACCGCCGTCGGATCCACCTCCTCGGCTGCCGTGGGCACTGAGCTCAGTGTGCAGGGACAGCCCATCTCTGGTGGATTTGGTGGCTTTGGCTATGGCCTTGGCTACGGCCGTGGGTTTGGCTATGGGCTGGGAGGCCTGGGCTGCTATGGCAGGAGGGGCTATGGCTACACCTGCTAAGAGCCCTCAGCACATCCCCTGACACCAACCAGCCACTCTGGAACACATCTCAGGCATTGAGGACACATCTCTGGACCACAACTCTCAAAATGGCTCCGCAATTCCAGCTCCTGCTCTCAGAGCTCCATCAATTCCGTACCCAAGGGGCCAGCTCACGCTGCCTGCAAACATGGCCCATCTCTGTTCCTGCTCTTCTCCCACTCCCTCCTCTGCATCTCCCCTTTATTGTGTCCAGCTCCCTCTGGACAAACCCCTTCTCCCAGGCCAGAGACCATGGGGCACCTCTGCTGGGCTGCTCCCACTGTGGGGCAGGAAGGCCTTGATGCTCTGGCCAAACCTCACCAAAGGAAGGGACCTTGGCTGATGGTCGCCCTGCTTGCACCTCAGACCAGCTCCCTTCCACTGCCTGCTCCTGAGTTTTCACTCTTCTACCTCAATAAAGTTTTCTTGCATCGCCACCTCAGACGACTCCTTCTTTCTTCTCCCAGGCTTTCTCCAGTCCCACTCAGCACTGAGTCCGGGTTGTAGAGGCCACTGGGGTGGGTGAAGAAGTGCACCAAGATCACTGTTAGGTTTGATTTCTGCTGTTCCACTACTCACAGCCACACTTTGCTCTTCCAGTGCATTCTCACACAAACCCTGCAGCTATTAGAAGACAAACTGGACACACTAATGCAGGTCTATCCTGGCCTCAGCCACAGGCCCCTTGTGTGTGGTGTGTTCTATTTTTATGGGCACCAGTTTCCCCAGCTCATCATCGTCTTCCAGGGCTATGTCCAGCTCTGGTTGAGCAGGTCCACGTCTTCCTTGTTTCCAGGTCCCAGAGCTGAACACACATCTCCAGTCTCACCAGAGTGGAGCAGAGGGGAAGAATCCCCCCCTCACCTGCTGCCCACGCTCTGGGGATGAGCCCAGGACACAGCGGGGTTTCTGGTTGGCACATTCACAGGGCTGGGCATGTCCATTACTGCATCCACCAGCACCCCAAGTGCTCCTCCTTGGGCTCAATCCCCTCCTCACCCAGCCTTTATCCTGCATGTTTGGGATTGCTCCAATCCAGGGGCAGCAGGTCCTGCCCCTCGGCTCTGCTCTGATGATTTTGGAGAACTCTGATCATCTCTGGGTTACTGGGACCAAGGAAGACAAGACTCTGCTGAGGGATATCCTGATCAAGGCCTCAGGGATGATCCATGGCTGAAGGTTTGGGACAGCCACTGCCCACGACATTGGGGCATTTTTCAGGCTGGCTGCTCTTGCCTGGCACAGCCTGGTGAGTCCTGAGGTTGGGAACGCTTTGCTTCCCACAGCTCTGCAATTCCATAGCCGCTCTTGAGGCTGTGCCCATCTGATCGTGGCAGCAGCTTTGATGAGTTGGGATTCATTCCAGCATGGGTGGATGAGGGAAGTGCTGCCAGTATCCTGTACCTGGCTTTGTGCAAGTCCTTGGTTCCTGTGCCAGACAACATCCTTGTCTCGAAGCTGGAGAGATGTGGAGTTGATAGTTGGACCATTTGGTGGGTAAGGAATGGGCAGGATGGTCTCACTCAAAGAGTTGTGGTCCATGGCTCCACGTCCCTGTGTGGAGAACGGGGATGAGTGGTGACCCACTGAGACTCCTGTTGGGATTGTTATAATTCTGTATCATTGTCAGAAATCAGGGAACTGGGATCTAAGGGGATGATCAGCAAAAGCAGGGACCACTCCAAGCTGAGTCATGGGGTTGGTAGTCTGGAGGGAAGGGATGGCATTCAGAGGGGCTGGAACGGGTTGGGGTTGTGGGATATCGTCCTTCTCATGAAGCTGAACAAGGCCAAGTGCAAGGTCCTGCATGTGGTTTGGAGCAATACCAAACAGGCTGGAGACTGGACAATGAGAGGATTGAGAGCAGCCCAGAGGAGAAAGACTTGGGGAGGTTTTGGATGAAGAACTGGACGTACCCCACATGAATGGGCTGACCAGAAACTCCCCATCCATGGCATGGGCAGGAGGTGATGGGGGGCATTTTGTCCCTCTGCTCTGGTTGGGGTGGACTGGAGTTGTGTGTTCAACTCTGGGATGTGAAAATAGAGGAAGACATGCAGCAGCTTGAGCAGATCTGTAAATGGACCTGGTAGATGATGAGGGTCTGGAGCAGCTGATGTCCAGCCAAAATGAACACAAGCACCAGTGAGGGGCGTGTGGCAGAATCAAGGTTAGAGCTGCATTACGGTGCCCAGACCTGTGATTAAGCCAGTGAGGTTCTCGTCTGTGCTGGGCACAAAGTGTGTCAGTGTGTCCCAGAGGGTTGTGGGACTGCAGAACCATTTCCATGAGAGGTGTTGGTGCAATTTGCACCCTCCACAAATGGTGTGTGGAGACGTGGATTTGTGCCAAGTGTGGTTGGCACACCTTTGTCAGAAAAAAGTTGTCGGAGACATCTCTGGTTGCAAGGCAAGAGTATTTTATTGAGGCAAAAGAAGAGTGAGAGGTCATGAGCAGCGAGTGGAAGGGAGCTGGTCTGAGGGGCAAGCAGGGCGACCATCAGCCGAGGTCCTTTGATTGCAGTAGGTTTGGCCAGAGCATCAAGGCTTTCCTGCCCTGCAGTGAGAGCAGCACTCCAGAGGTGTCCAATGACTGCTGGCTTGGGAGAAGGTGTCTGCAGCAGAGGGGACTGGACTGAGATGCAATGGGGAAGAGGAAGAGGCAGATGGGCCATGGGGCCATGTTTGCAGCCAGCCTGGGCTGGCACCCTGGCTCCTGTATTGCTTGGTGACCTGAGAGAAGGAGGTGGAAGTGCTGAGTCCATTTGAGAGCCTTGGCCCAGAGCTGTGTCCTCAGTGCCTGAGATGTGCCCAGGGAGTGGGTGGTTGATGTCAAGGGTGGTGCCAAGGAGGGCCCCTTAGCAGTTGTAGCCATAGCCCCTTCTGCCATAGCAGCCCAGGCCTCCCAGCCCATAGCCAAACCCACGGCCGTAGCCAAGGCCGTAGCCAAAGCCACCAAATCCACCAGAGATGGGCTGTCCCTGCACACTGAGCTCAGTGCCCACGGCAGCCGAGGAGGTGGATCCGACGGCGGTGTTCTGGGGGAAGGAGGTCATGATGGGTCCTGGCAGGGTGACCAGCACAGGGGAAGGGTCGATGATGACGCGGGAATCCTGGCATTGCAGGGCACAGGGCTCGTTGCAGCTGTTGGCCAGCGGGGTGGGTCCGCAGGGCTGGCAGAGGGTGTTGCAGGCCATGGGTGTGGTGTGGAGGGTCCTGGAAGAGAGAGGGGTGAGACAGGGCAGTAGCACGGGGGTCTGAGGGGCAGTGATGCAGGAGAGTTGTGGATTTTGGAGGCTGTTGTGGGGCTGTGGGGAGGTGTGAGGGCTGCTGAGGCTGGGGCTGAGCGTGCTGGAAGAGAGGGGCCAGGGGTGCAGGAGCAGGAGGGTCAGGGGCTTCAGACTCACCTTGCTGTCTTCACAGGAGCTGGAGTCAGGAGACTGAGAAGTTTGTGAAGCAGAGCAGTGCTGGGCTGGCTTTTATGCTGGTCCTGGAGGGGTGGGACAGCCTTGTCCCATGGCCTTGGGCATTTTCAAGGCAGCAGCTCTTGCGTCACCCAGCCTGGTGAGTCATGAGGTGGGGAGTGTTTTCTTTCCTGCAACTCTTCAACCCCATGTCCTCTACTTGAGGCTGTTTCCATCTGACCTTGGCATCGTCTCTTAATGGAGAGAATTAGTGACCATTATCTTGTTCGTGACAGCATGTGTCAGGACATGTAAATAATTCAACCAAAGCTTTGGAGAACTGGGAAGTCATCACTCAAGTCATTCCACGGCATGTTGACAATATGTCCCATTTGCATCCCTGCCTCCTGTCAGAAACAAATCCCAGCTCTCTCAAGTTCTCATTTTGAGGATGCTCCAGTTCCATCATTGTCATGATCTCCCTGCACTGCTCTTGGTCATCCATGTCCAGATCCTTGATCCACTGTGGAGTCACAGCAGTGGTGGGCTAAAGGATGGACACTGCCCTCAACCCGCTTGTATTTCATTTCTTAATCCTGTCCTGGTAACTGCTGGAGTGTTTTTCAGAAAGGGTACATGGCCAAAGGGATGGATTAATCAACAGAGAGGAATTGTTCTTCTCATGTGTCTTGCTCTAGTTAGTCCTCACAACATTTTCTTTACAGGAAGAAGAGTCCAGAGCCCACAGTGCGACCTTGCTTGGCCCAGGTGAGACAAGTTTTACAGACTGACCAACACAAGACTTTGAGCAGCATGGGAAGCCTCCCCGTTTCCCAGGGATTGCTTTCCTATATCCAGCAGGAATTACCAGTGATATGGAAAAGCATGGAGAGATGGTAACATGGTGAGGAGGGAGACAATGTGATGGAAGTAGCCGCCCTGCAAAAGTAGAGTTTTTCCAAACCCAAGATCAGCCTGATGGTGTGGTGGGGTTAGAAGGTCTGAGGCCCCTCCTCAAAACACAGCAGCACACAGCGCCACACGGTGACTTCACTGATGATACTCCACCACTCCTAAGCCTTGGTCATGTTTTCAGCCCACTCTGAATCACATCATTAACACCATCTTAACATGTAATATTTGCATTTAATTTTTTCTCCGAGGTCAAATAGAAAGGATCTCAACAGAAGGACATGGAATAGCAAAATTCCATAATGACGTGCCCCCACCATGACAGAGAGAGAAGAGGACCTTGATGACCCTCCTCTAGTAATTATTGGCTTCTGCTAACAGAAACAAAAAATTAAGATTACAGGATAAAAGTTGTGAAACATAATGGCCTGAATGCAGAATGCAGAAATTGACATCACACATCTGCTGCAGCAAGAAATGGATAGGACCAGGTTTGTTCCTCATTATTAGATTTCTGAATGAGGTCTAGAAATAAACTTCATGAGACAGCGTATGCTGTTGTATAAATTTGAGAAATCCAGAGAAACCAGAACACTGGAACAAGTTCATCCTAAACCGAGCCTGGCTTTCCAGATCCTCTCTCTTGATCCCATTCTAGACTCAAGCCTAGGAGCACTCTCTCATCCAAGCCCTCAGACCTTTAAAAGTTATTGCAGAGTGACCTCCCCAGGCCATCAGCAGCTCCCTCAGCATTCCTGGGTGACACAATGACTGATGGACATCCAGTGGCTGAGAAAAGAGTCACAGTCTTCACAAAGCACCGGCAAACCACAGCAGATGAGTGCCACAACATGACCTCACTGATGACATTGCAACTTTCCAGGGCTCTGGTTGTTTATTCAGCCCTCCCTGACACACATGGAACAATCAAATCTACCCAAACACAACCTCATGGAAGCTGCCGCCAAGGTCAGATGGAGCCAGCCTCAAGAGCAGGACATGGAATTGCAGAAAGACGGGAATGAAAACACTCCCCGCCTCATGACCTCATGAGAGGCTGGGCCAGGTGAGAGCTTCTGCCTGCAAAATGCCCCAAGGCCATGGGACAAGGCTGTCCCACTCCTCCAGGACCAGCATAAAAGCCGGCCCAGAGCCTCTCTCCCTCACACACTTCTCCTGACACCTTCTGCCAACAACCAGGTGAGTCTCAAGCCCCTGACCCTCCTGCTCCAGCACCTCTGGCCCCTCTCTTCCAGCACGCTCAGCCCCAGCCTCAGCAGCCCTCATGCCTCCCCACTGCCCCACAACAGCCTCCACACTCCCTCACCCTAGTCCATCACTGCCCCTCACAACCCCGTGCCCCTGCCCTGCCTCACCCCCTCTTTCTTCCAGGCACCCTCCACTCCACACCCATGGCCTGCAACACCCTCTGCCGACCCTGCGGACCCACCCCACTGGCCAACAGCTGCAACGAGCCCTGTGCCCTGCAATGCCAGGATTCCCGCGTCATCATCAACCCTTCCCCTGTGCTGGTCACCCTGCCAGGACCCATCATGACCTCCTTCCCCCAGAACACCGCCGTCGGATCCACCTCCTCGGCTGCCGTGGGCACTGAGCTCAGTGTGCAGGGACAGCCCATCTCTGGTGGATTTGGTGGCTTTGGCTACGGCCTTGGCTACGGCCGTGGGTTTGGCTATGGGCTGGGAGGCCTGGGCTGCTATGGCAGGAGGGGTGGCTACATCTGCTAAGAGCCCTCAGCACCACTCCTGACACCACCAGCTCTGGGCTCTGGCCACAACTCCTGCAAGTAAAGCTCCTCAGCTGGTGGTCGGCCTACTCACACCTCACAGCAGATTATTTCCACTTCTTTCCCCTGACTTTTTATTCTTTTGCATTAATAAAGTTTTCCTGCATCAAACCTGGGATATCTCCTGATCTTTTTTATTCCAGTGGTTTTGCATCTTCACCCACCACATTCTAGAACTCAACAGGCCATTGAGGGTAGAGGAACAGGGCAGAACAATTCTCCTTACATATACAAAACAACTAAAAACCTATTCCAGCACGGAACGCACAGGAGGGAACACCTTCCATTACATGTCACACACCTTGGAAACTGCTACACCAAAGTCATTGACACATCAATGTTCCCCTTGGTACAAAAATGGAAAAGTCACTCCATGCCACTGCAAACTTGACAAACTCTCTTCCTGGTCACAAATCCTGAAGCCTCCCAGCAAAGAGAGAAACAACATCAACCTCTTGGGCAGGAGCTCTGGAGTGCAAGTGCTTCAACTGCCCTGCTCAGGCAAGACCAACAGGAGAACATTTCCAGAACCATGGACAGTGCAGGTTTGGATCTCCCAAGAGAGAGACCCCACCACCTCTTCCAATCTCTGATCATCCTCACAATGAAAGGTTCTTGGCTTCTTAGCCCATGGAATTCCATCTCTTTTCACTTGTCCTCTTGCTGTCTTGCCCTGCACGTGCGCACTGCTGAGGACAGCCAGGCTCCCTTGTCATCATCCGCCACCATCAGGGATTGGCACACACTGATGTCCAGGACCCTGATGGACACTGATGTCCATCCTTGTCCCCTGGGAGTGCTGGCTCTCTCCGTTTCCCATCTGGCAATCGTCTTTCAGGCCCATTTGTATCTGGGTGTCCCTGGGCTCGTCTCACTGGGGAGCCCAGAACTGCCCACAGCACCTCCCACGGGACCTCAGCAGTGCCGAGCAGACACCGACAGTCACCTCTCACTGCCTCATCCCAACATTTTTCCATATCATTCCTGGAACCTTGGGGTTCCTTTTCCCACAAGGGTGCAGGGACACCTCCAGCTCCACTTCTTCTCATCCACAACCCCAAAGGCTTTTTGGAAAAGAAAGCAATTGTTCCAATTGATACCCACATATTCCTTCCTACCTGGGATCACTTCCTTGTTCCTCCCAAGAAACAGCCCTCGACAGATGCCCTTGCTGGGCTCCAGCAGATGTCCAGGACCACTCAGATTTTCAATGTTGACCAAAAGAATCCAACTCCTGGGGATTGCCAGTTGGGCCACTATGTACAAATCATGAACGGGACGTATCTCGAGCTGTTTATTTTCCAGCATCTGTCTCATTTCATGGTTGTGACAATGGGAAGATACCAGCAGCTCACATTCCAGGCAGCAGACAAAAAACTTAATGTTATAATTTAATTTAAAAGCTTTTTGACCAATCACACAAAGCAAAAGCATATTGACAGTAATTCTATCCAACCACTATAAGCACATGTTCCTTTGATTAAAAACAATGCTCGCTTATTGTAAATACAATACCTGCTTGTGAACCTTAAGATACAATGCACAGAGTTCCATAATTAAGCTTACAACTTCCTAAAATCTCACTAGATATACTTTTCTGTAACTTAGGGAGTTTTTCTAGCCAAGCGTTAATACACTGACCGTTGTTCTATTTGTCCTTACTTTCTACTTCTTGTAAAATTTTTGTGTTGATAAATCTTATGCTTACTGCTTATCTTTAATCGTATTTCTGCTGTCTTTGAGGCCTGCTTTTTGTATCTTGCCTAAAACTTTGATTTTTAAGGATTCTTACAGTTCTCCCCCTTGGTTCAACTAAAAACACGCAAGCCACTGACACAACCCAGATTTGCCTGGTTGTCCAGGATCAGACAATGCTCACCTCCAACAGCCCTGGGCAAACACCAAATCCTCATTCTGACCATCACAAGTGGCCTCAGCCCTTTGCACTCAGCCCCAGTAAAGACCCCAAAGGCCCTGGATACCAAAACCCTAAAGGCAAGAGGGGCACCAAGACACCCACAGAGCACCGCCAACGGGAAATGTCAGGTCTAGTGTCAGGCTTAGCCAGGTGGGATCACGGTGGGAAGGCATGGAATGAGAGGGAAGGGACAACACCTCTGGAACAGCTGCAAATCCCAGAGCAGCCGGACAGGGCTGGGAGGGGATGGGGCTCCTCTTCACAGCACACCCACACACCACAGCACACCCGTGCCACAGGATCACCTTGTCGATGACAACCGCACCTCCCCGAAGTTTTGGTGGCTTATTCAGCCCCCCTGACACTCACCTTCAGAGCAAACCCTCCCAAATTCCACCAACCCTCACATACCAATAACTCACACTTAAATCTGCCCTCAAGGTCAGAAGGACAGGGCCGCAAGAGAAGGACATGGAATCGTGGAATTCCATAAAGGCACACCCTCATCATGACAGAGAGGGAAAGCGGAGCACGCTGACCATCAGTTAGAAATTACTGGGTTTTGCTCACAGGAACACTATTGTCATTCACAGGATATAAATCATTATGAAATCTTATGGCGTGAATGTGGAATAAGGGAATCGACACCACAGACCAGCCTGGGAACAAAGGGATTGGACCCCATTTGTTGTTTGTTATTTGTTTTCTGAATGAGGCCAAGAAATGCACTTTACATGCACGCGTGTGTTGAAATTAGAATTTGAGGAATCCAAGAGGACCATAAAAATGGAACAGGTTCAGCCTGAACAGCCTCTGGTTTACCAGATCTTGTGATCCCACTCAAGACACCAGGCCAAGAGCTCTCTTTCATCCATCAGGAACAGCTGCCAGGCACTGGGAGCTTTCCAAGCTCTTCCTGAGGGACCTCCCCAAGACATCAGCAGCTCCCTCAGCATTCCTGGGTGCAACACAATGGCTGATGCACATCCAGCAGCACAAAACAGAGTCCCAGTCTTCACAAGTCACCACAAACCACAGCACCCAAGGGACACAAAGTGACATCACTGATGATGCTGCAAATTTCCAGGGCTCTGGTTGTTTATTTATTCCTCCCTGACACACATCTGACAATGAAATCCTGCCAAATAGCAACCCATGAAAACTGCCGCCAAGATCAGATGGACACAGACTCAAGAGCAGGACACGGAATTGAAGAACATCACAAAGGAAAGCAATTCCCACCTCATGACCTCATGCCAGGCGGGGTGAGGCAAGAGCTGCTGCCTCAAAAATGCCCCAAGGCCATGGGACAAGGCTGTCCCACCCCTGCAGGACCAGCATAAAAGCCAGCCCAGAGCCTCTCTCCCTCACACACTTCTCCTGACATCTTCTGCTCCTGCAGACAACCAGGTGAGCCCAATGCCCCTGACCCTCCTGCTCCAGCACCTCCGGCCCCTCATTTCCAGCACGTTCAGCCCCAGCCTCAGCAGCCCTCACGCCTCCCCACAGCCCGAAAATACCCTCCACACTCCATCACCCTCCTCCATCACTGCCCCTATTCACCCCCACATCCCTGCCCTGCCTCACCCTCTCTCTTCCAGGCACCCTCCACTCCAAGCCCATGGCCTGCAACACCCTCTGCCGACCCTGCGGACCCACCCCGCTGGCCAACAGCTGCAACGAGCCCTGTGCCCTGCAATGCCAGGATTCCCGCGTCATCATCGACCCTTCCCCTGTGCTGGTCACCCTGCCAGGACCCATCATGACCTCCTTCCCCCAGAACACCGCCGTCGGATCCACCTCCTCGGCTGCCGTGGGCACTGAGCTCAGTGTGCAGGGACAGCCCATCTCTGGTGGATTTGGTGGCTTTGGCTACGGGTTTGGCTATGGCCGTGGGTTTGGCTATGGGCTGGGAGGCCTGGGCTGCTATGGCAGAAGGGGCTATGGCTACAACTGCTGAGGGCCCTCAGCAACACCCCTGACACCAACCACCCACTCCCTGAAGCACATCTCAGGCATTGAGGACACATTTCTGGGCCAAGGCTCTCTAAGTGGCTCAGCGATGCCTTAGGGCATCTGCCCCGCCCTTTTGTCCTTCTCCCTTTCAGCTCTGTCCAGTCCCCTCTGCTGCAAACCCCTTCTCCAAGGCTGGAGACCATGGAACCTTCACCATCAGGTTGCTTCTACTGCAGAACAGGAAGGTCTTGCAAACCTACTGCAATCAAAGGACCTCAGCTGATGGTCGTCCTACTTGACCCTCAGACCAGCTCCCTTTCACTCGCTGCTCATGACCTCTCACTCTTCTTTTGCCTCAATAAAATACTCCTGGCTTGTAACCTGAGATGTCTCTGACAACTTTTTTCTGACAAAGGTGTGCCAACCACACTTGGCACAAATCCACGTCTCCACACACCATTTGTGGAGGGTGCAAATTGCACCAACACCTCTCATGGAAATGGTTCTGCAGTTCCACAACCCTCTGGGACACACTGACACACTTTGTGTCCAGCACAGACGAGAACCTCACTGGCTTAATCACAGGCCTGGACACCGTAATGCAGCTCTAACCTTGATTCTGCCACACGCCCCTCACTGGTGCTGTGTTCATTCTGGCTGGACATCAGCTGCTCCAGACCCTCATCATCTTCCAGGTCCATTTACAGATCCGCTCAATCTGCTGCATGTCTCCCTTTATTTTCACGTCCCAGAGTCGAACACACAACTTCAGTCCACCCCAACCAGAGCAGAGGGACAGAATCCCCCCATCACCTCCTGCCCATGCCATGGATGGGGAGTTTCTGGTCAGCCCATTCATGTTGTGGGGCACGTCCAGTTCTTCATCCAAAACCTCCCCAAGTCTTTCTCCTCTGGGCTGCTCTCAATCCTCTCATTGTCCAGTCTCCAGCCATGTTTGGCATTGCTCCAAACCATAAGCAGGACCTTGCACTTGGCCTTGTTCAGCTTCATGAGAAGGACGATATCCCACAACCCCAACCCGTTCCAGCCCCTCTGAATGCCATCCCTTCCCTCCAGACAACCAACCCCATCACTCAGCTTGGAGTGGTCTCTGCTTTTGCTGATCATCCCCTTAGATCCCAGTTCCCTGATTTCTGACAATGATACAGAATTATAACAATCCCAACAGGAGTCTCACTGGGTCACCACTCATCCCCGTTCTCCACACAGGGACATGGAGCCATGGACCACAACTCTTTGAGTGAGAACATCCTGCCCATTCCGTACCCACCAAATGGTCCAACCATCAACTCCACATCTCTCCAGCTTCGAGACAAGGATGTTGTCTGGCACAGGAACCAAGGACTTGCACAAAGCCAGGTACAGGATACTGGCAGCACTTCCCTCATCCACCCATGCTGGAATTAATCCCAACTCATCAAAGCTGCTGCCAAGGTCAGATGGGCACAGCCTCGAGAGCGGCTATGGAATTGCAGAGCTGTGAGAAGCAAAGCGTTCCCAACCTCGGGACTCACCACGCTGTGCCAGGCAAGAGCAGCCAGCCTGAAAAATGCCCCAATGTCGTGGGCAATGGCTGTCCCAAACCTTCAGCCATGGATCATCCTTGAGGCCTTGATCGGGATATCCCTCAGCAGAGTCTTGTCTTCCTTGGTCCCAGTAACCCAGAGATGATCAGAGTTCTCCAAAATCATCAGAGCAGAGCCGAGGGGCAGGACCTGCTGCCCCTGGATTGGAGCAATCCCAACCATGCAGGATAAAGGCTGGACGAGGAGGGGATTGAGCCCAAGGAGGAGCACTTGGGGTGCTGGTGGATGCAGTAATGGACATGCCCAGCCCTGTGAATGTGCCGAACAGAAACCCTGCTGTGTCCTGGGCTCATCCCCAGAGCGTGGGCAGCAGGTGAGGGGGGGGATTCTTCCCCTCTGCTCCACTCTGGTGAGACTGGAGATGTGTGTTCAGCTCTGGGACCGGGAAACAAGGAAGACGTGGACCTGCTCAACCAGACCTGGACATAGCCCTGGAAGACGATGATGAGCTGGGGCAACTGGTGCCCATAAAAATAGATCACACCACACACGAGGGGCCTGTGGCTGAGGCAAGGATAGACCTGCATTAGTGTGTCCAGTTTGTCTTCCAATAGCTGCAGGGTTTGTGTGAGAATGCACTGGAAGAGCAAAGTGTGGCTGTGAGTAGTGGAACAGCAGAAATAAAACCTAAGAGTGATCTTGGGGCACTTCTTCACCCACCCCAGCGGCCTCTACAACCCGGACTCAGTGCTGAGTGGGACTGGAGGAAGCCTGGGAGAAGAAAGAAGGAGTCATCTCAGGTGGTGATGCAGGAAAACTTTATTGAGGTAGAAGAGAGAAAACTCAGGAGCAGGCAGTGGAAGGGAGCTGCTCTGAGGTGCAAGCAGGGCGACCATCAGCCAAGGTCCCTTCCTGTGGTGAGGTTTGGCCAGAGCATCAAGGCCTTCCTGCCCCACAGTGGGAGCAGCACAGCAGAGGTGCCCGATGGTCTCTGACTTGGGAGAAGGGGTTTGTCCAGAGGGGACTGGACACAATAAAGGGGAGATGCAGAAGAGGGAGTGGGAGAAGAGCAGGAACAGAGATGGGCCATATTTGCAGGCAGTCTGAGCTGGCCCCTTGGGTACTGAATTGATGGAGCTGTGAGAGCAGGAGCTGGAATTGCTGAGCCATTTTGAGAGCCCTGGCCCAGAGATGTGTCCTCAATGCCTGAGATGTGTTCCAGAGTGGGTGGTTGGTGTCAGGAGTGGTGCTGAGGGCCCTTAGCAGATGTAGCCACCCCTTCTGCCATAGCAGCCCAGGCCTCCCATCCCATAGCCAAACCCACGGCCGTAGCCAAGGCCGTAGCCAAAGCCACCAAATCCACCAGAGATGGGCTGTCCCTGCACACTGAGCTCAGTGCCCACGGCAGCCGAGGAGGTGGATCCGACGGCGGTGTTCTGGGGGAAGGAGGTCATGATGGGTCCTGGCAGGGTGACCAGCACAGGAGAAGGCTGGATAACGACGCGGGAATCCTGGCATTGCAGGGCACAGGGCTCGTTGCAGCTGTTGGCCAGCGGGGTGGGTCCGCAGGGTCGGCAGAGGGTGTTGCAGGCCATGGGTGTGGTGTGGAGGGTCCCTGGAAGAGACGGGGGTGTGAGGTAGGACAGGGGTGTGGGGGTGTGAGGGGCAGTGATGGAGTAGGGTGAAGAAGTGTGGAGGCTGTTGTGGGGCTGTGGGGAGGCGTAAGGGCTGCTGAGGCTGGGGCTGAGCATGCTGGAAGAGAGGGACCAGGGGTGTGGGATCAGGAGGCTCAGTGAGGCTTGAGACTCACCTGGCTGTTGGCAGGAGCAGGAGCAGAAGGCGTCAGGAGAAGTGTGTGAGGGAGAGAGGCTCTGGGCTGGCTTTTATGCTGGTCCTGGAGGGGTGGGACAGCTTTGTCCCATGGCCTTGGGGCATTTTTAAGGCAGCAGCTCTTGCCTGGCCCAGCCTGGTGAGTCATGAGGTGGGGAGTGTTTTCCTTCATGCAATTTTGCAATTCCATGTCCTGCCTTTGAGGCCACGTCCAGCTGACCTTGGAGGCAGCTTTCAATCCGGAGTTGGTATTTGGGTGGATTTCATTGTTCATTGTTCGTCAAGGAGGGCTGAATAAACAACCAGAGCTCTGGAGATTTGCAATGTCATCACTGAGGTAATTTTGTGGTCCTCGTCTGCTGTGGTTTGTGGGTGCCTTGTGGAGACCTGGGCTCTGTTCCGTGCCACTGGATGTCCATCAGTCGTTGTGTTGCACCCAGGAATGCTGAGGGAGCTGCTGATGTCCTGGGGAGGCTCCTCTGCTAAAACCTGGAAGATTCCAGTGCCTGGGAGTGTTTCCTGGTGGATGAAAGAGAGCCCCTGGCCTTGTGTCTTGAGTGGGATCAAGGGAGAGCATCTGGGAAATGCGAAGCTACACAGGCTGAACTTTTTACAGTGTTATGATCCATTTGGATTTCCTAAATTTAAACAACAACCTAACCTGCCATTTAAAATCTACTTCTTGACCTCATTCAGAAATCTAAGAAATAAACAACAAATGGGACCCACCCCATTGTTTCCAGGCTGGTCTATGACGTCAATTCCTTTATTCCGCATTCAACCATAAGGTTTCATAATTTATATCCCTCAAGTCTTAGAATTATGTTCCTCTTAGCAAATAACCATTAATTACTAACGAGTGGTCAACAACCTCCTCTTTCGTTCTCTGCCATTACTTGGGCATTTTTTTGTGCTATTCTCAGATTCCACGCCCTCCTCTTGAGGCTGTGCCCATCTCACCTTTGTGGCAGCCTTTAGGTGTGCATTTAGAGATGAAATTTTGGTGTTGTGGGTACAGCAGGAAGACGTGACCAAAGCTTTGGAGAACTGAGGCCACCCTGTGGCACTGCCTTGCCGTGGATTGTGGGTGGGTTCTGCAGTTTCGAGAAGCTGGTTTGGACTTTGCAGCTCTTACAAATATCCAGAGTTTCCCCGTCCACCCCATTCCCTCTCTCCACGCTGTTTCCCCAGCTGTCAAAGCCTGACTGGAGACGTCGCCTGTACCATTGGTCATGCTCTTGGTGTCCCTTTTCTCTGTAAGGATTTGATACTCAGGGTTTTTTGGATCTTTACTTGGACTGAGTGTGGAGGAGCGAGATCACTCCTCTGGGCAATGTCTGATTGTCAGAAAGAAAATCTGGAAGTTGTCCAGGGTTTTTGGAGGTGAGTATTGCACGATCCTCCACAACCCAGGCAAGTCCAGTTGTCCAGTGGGGTGTCCTGAGCAGGATCTGAAGGGCAGGGCCCAGAGGGTTGAGGTCTGAGATGTCCTTTCAAACAGGCAGAAGCTGAGAGAGCTGGGAGTTCCTTCAGGCAGGAGGAAAGAAACCACATGGGACATGTTCTCAATACTCCATGGAATAACCTTGGAGGACACCTGAGTTCTCCTCAGCTTTGGCTGAATCTTCTACGTGCCCTGACACGCGACATCAACAACCACACGCCGCTCTCTAATTCTGGCAGTTAAGAGGTGCCGCCAAGGTCAGATGGACACCGCCCCGAGGGAAGGACCTGAAACTGCAGAAATCCAGGAAGAAAAACATTCCCCACCTCCCCACCTCAGGATTCACCAGGATGGGCCAGCCAAGAGCTGCTGCCTAAAAAATGCCCCAAGGCCATGAGACAAGGCTGTCCCACCCCTCCAGAAGCAGCATAAAAGCCAGCACAGAGCATCTCTCCCTCACACACTTCTCCTGAAGCCTTCTCCTGCTCCTGCCAACAACCAGGTGAGCCTCAAGCCCCTGACCCTCCTGCTCCAGCTCCCCTGGCCCCTCTCTTCCAGCACGCTCAGGCCCAGCTTCAGCAGCCCCACAGCCCCACAACACCCTCCACACCCCATCACTCTCCTGCATCACCGTCCCTTCCACCCTTCACCCTTCCCCTGCCTCACCCCTCTTCCTTCCAGGACCCTCCACACCACACCCATGGCCTGCAACACCCTCTGCCAGCCCTGCGGACCCACCCCGCTGGCCAACAGCTGCAACGAGCCCTGTGCCCTGCAATGCCAGGATTCCCGCGTCGTTATCCAGCCTTCTCCCGTGCTGGTCACCCTGCCAGGACCCATCATGACCTCCTTCCCCCAGAACACCGCCGTCGGATCCACCTCCTCGGCTGCCGTGGGCACTGAGCTCAGTGTGCAGGGACAGCCCATCTCTGGTGGATTTGGTGGCTTTGGCTACGGCCTTGGCTACGGCCGTGGGTTTGGCTATGGGCTGGGAGGCCTGGGCTGCTATGGCAGGAGGGGTGGCTACATCTGCTAAGGACCCTCAGCACCACTCCTGACACCACCAGCTCTGGCCTCAACAGCTCCTGCAAGCAAAGCACCCCAGCTGACGGTCACCCTGCTTGCTGCTCGCTCTGGATCCTTTTCATTTCATTCTCCCGTCTCTTAATTCTCTTCCTTCAATAAAATTTTTCTGCATCAAAGCCTGAGATGCCTCCTATTTCTTTTTGAATTCCAGTGGTTTCACATCCTCGCCCAACACGGTGACAGGGCTCAGCAGGACTTTGGTGAAAGGAAAAGGGGCACAAGACTTTTCTCTAGGAAATATGTTCAGCAATATTTAACAGATCCCTCACCAGTAACAAACTGTCGGAATCTGTGGGTATTGGTGATTCCGAGATTGTAGAAAGTCTCTGTCTTTCTGCCCCGTTGCCAAAGCAGAAGCCATAATTTGTCTGTGCTGTTTTCAAGGTTGTTTATTCTGTTTATCTCTAACATGTTCTGCTGCCCTGCCGCAGGTCTGTCCTGCAGGGCAGCGTGTGGGGCTCTGCCCTCAGTGGGATGTTACAAACATTAAATACCAGAAACTACCTGTGCTGGATTTACAATAACGTGCCAATATCTGTCACCTACGTTGAGCAGTGTGTCCCCAGCCTAAACCAACAGAAAAATGCCAACACCACAGTGAAACATGGAGGGCATGAAGAAGGAGAAAAAGGACAAGACACACCCAATTTCCTCCATCTTGTCCCCTCTGAACCCCTAATCTAGAAACCTAAAATTTTACTTTTGCACCCGTGTCACACTTAATTATTACTCTTATCAAACACTCAGAGCTGGTAATTCATCCTGTAAGATTGAAAACTCCTCTCCATGAACAGAGATCACAGACAGTGTCTCTGGGGGCTCTGTCCAGGGGGGTTCCTGACCCCTGCCAGGGTCCCAGACCTGCCAGGGCAGCCAGAGGGAAGCCCTGGATTCCCACAACAAACAACACTCACAAAGGAAGCAGAGAAGGGGGGGAAATCTTCCAAAATATTTTACCTGCCAAACACCTGCTATACCAAAGGCTTTGGCACATTAATGCTCTCCTGCTCATGGCTCTGGCAAAGTCTCTCTCTGCCAGCACACAAACTCTCTTCCCAGCAGGACCTTCAAGCCCTCTGAACAGTCAGAAAATCTTCCACTTGGGCAGGAACTCTGGAGTGCAAGTTCTTCATTCCCTCCAGTTCAAGCAAGAGCAGAGTTTCCCAGTACCACGGACAGTTCACATTTTCATCTCCCAGCACAATCTTCCCCTCTGTGACCAACCTCACACTGAAACATCCTTGCTTTCTTTTCCGCACAGAATTCCATCTGTTTTCCCTTGTGCTCCTGCCCTCTTCTCCTCCACGTGTGCACTGCAGAGAACATCCCTCGACTTCGTCTTCTGCCATCAGAGATTTTCACACACTCGTGGCTGGCAGTCCCATCTCTCTCAGCCTCTCCTCTAGGAAATATCCTCCTTTAGAGCACTGCTGGCCCTGAAATGGTCTGGATTTGTCGGAGTCCAGAGCATCCCTCTGTCTGCCTGGATGACTCCAGCCCCTGGCAAAGAGCCCAGGAACCTTGGCAGCAAACAAAAAACACCTGTGGATTCGATTTTAGCCCGTGGTAGAGGCTGCCGACCTTATAGGAGGAATTAAAAGCCAAAAGGGTTTGAATGATTTAATAAGGAAATTGACACAGGGTGGAAAAGTAGAATTTTGGGATTTTTTAGAATGAAATTCAGGGGTACAACATGGAGGAATCTGTGTGTGCCCTAACTTCTTCTTCCTTCTTCTTGTCCTCCATGTCTCGGTGTGATAGTGACACTTTTCTATTGGTTTAGGATAGGGACACCTTGTCCAACGTAGATTTTAGGTGTTGGTATGGGAATTGTAAGCATGGTACACATAATTTTGGGTATATAATGTGGGAGCTGCCTGGGGCAGGAAGGAGACTGCCACGGCTTCTGTGCTAGCTGGACCTCAGCAGCTCAGAAAGAAATTATTATAGATAATGAAAAATAAACAACCTTGAAAACTCGGCTTCACGCATTCCAGACCTCTTCTTCGTCGGCCGGACTAGGGAAAAAGGACTTTCACACTGTTGGGGTCTTTCCCAGTGACCCCAACATGGATTCACTGAATTGACCTCATTTTCACACTGTGGTGGCCAGCACTGCCCACAACTCCTCACGTGTGACCCCACCAGTGCTAAACAGACACCAAGAGTCACCTCTCTGTGCTTGGTTGTAACAATATTCCAGTTCCTGGACACTCGAGGTCCCTGTTCCCACGATGGACAACTCCTGCTCCA